ATAATGATTTTTTTTAAATAGTGATTCTTTTAAGGAATATCAGTACACCAAAAGACTTTTGAATGTTTCAAACTGGTTTAACTCTAAAATAAAACAAAACACTAGGAAATTATTTACTATACCTGACCACCCATTGACCAACCATTGACCACCCAATGTTAAAACATGCAGCACAGACAGCTTTTTATCCATCATTTGGGATCTTGCAATGTTCAAACTCGTGACAGAAAAGATTTGTTTGTGCACATAATTGGAATAATAAGTTAAACAGCAGTCCAGACTCATTAGTCATTCCCCTCCAAATTCATTAACATGAAGCTGCCTTTTGTTGAGTTTCTGGCCCTCTGACAGTGTTTTGCCCATGTGCCCATATAAAATATCAGGTGGGAGACCATTGTACATAAACTGTATTCTTGACTAAGGTCCCACTTACACAGGCCTAGAGACTGATCCATGACCATCTGGCAACCAAGAGAGAAAAATTAGTGTTCCCTGATGGGCTGTGAGTGGTTTCCAGAGGTTGATTGCAGTCGATGGGACTGCTCAAGTCCCAGTCACACAGATTTTCAGACCAGTCAGTGACCCCCTGGCAACCACCTGTCACTAGGGAAAAACATGTGTCACCCAACTGGTTGGCAGACCTTCTTGTGATTATTTGATTGCTAACATATTGCTGTGATCATAGTTTGAATTTTCACCCAGCGAGAGCCAGAAACCCCCAGGAACCACTGCCATCCAGTTGGGGACTACACATCTTTTCCCCATCAACCGCTGGGTGCAGCACATCCAATATGGTGGCCAGCTGTCAAGCAGCATGTGTAAATGACTAATTATTTAGTGAAAGTGCTACTTTTTATTGAAAATTTCCCTAATCAACGAGTATTACTTCAGCTCTGAGTCTAACTATGAGATTTTTTTTTCTGCTACTGTAATACATCAGTGACAAATAATTGAATCGGATAGTCAGGTTGAATAAAACTCTTTGTATTAGAGTATGATCTCACCAAGCTACACTGTACTCCTTCAAAGAGCACACGGAAGTCCCCTCCGCCTGTATATTGACTCACAGTAAAAATAGCCTTTATGTCTTTGTTTGTCAGTTGTTCTCCTTTTGATAGCAATCAGTGATCTAACGTACCACTGTTTTAATAGTCCCACATGATGTGTGCGTGGGGGGTTCTTATTCCCACAGCTCTCCCGCCTGATCTCATCAGTCGGATGAGGAGGCAGCTCCCGGCATAACTCTGGACAATGTCGTGTGACTCCCAGAAAATGTGGACAAAGAGAGGAAGACGTTCAATAAACTGTGTTTGTGTGAAGGAGAGTACATTTTGTACAGTCCATGTGTGTGTGTGCGTGTTTTATTTTTGCTCTAACCATGTGTAAGCAATAAGTAAAGTAGGGATAAAATATGTCCAGCTTTCACATTTACAGGAGTGTGTATGCCTTTTGTAACTCTCACATCATGCGTTTGTGTATTTGTGCTGGTGCATCTTCGTCAAACCTCACACTCACATGTTCCACATTGCGTCTGATTGGGCAGGAGTGACTGTCATTTCCTCTCCAGCTCCCGTCTCATTTCCTCTCTTCCTCTCTCTGTCACCCAGGTCAAACCTATACAGAAGCCTCTCCTCTCCCATCCATTGCTCACTTCCCTCAAAGACTGTTTTCTCATGCAGATAATGAAGCGTACTTTCCACCCTGCCAGTCGGAGTATTGTGTCTCACTGTTTTACACCCGTGATCTTATTGAGCGATTTATGTACTTATATTGCACCACTCCCAGGGCTCCCATTTATGTCATTATAGTACTGAACGCTTGAGACTGATGAACATGCCTGAACATGTCTGGATGGACACTAGAGAAACTGCAATTGTCGGCATTTTCATGTTTGCTTTATTTTGCAGAGCTGTTGTTTGCTGCTTCAGCTTAATGGTGGTTTCATAGCATTTTCACATAACACATGAAAGATCTTTGGTTTGAAACTGGGAGTTGGCACAGATCCCTGCATCAGAAATGGCTTCTGGTGTAAAAGTCTATCAAACCAAATATTCAGTTCAATTGAATTTTATTTATATGGCACAGTAGCACAGTTCCCTCAAGGCATTGTTTGGATCCACATATCCAGATATGCAGCTCTAAACAACTTCTGTTATACAGCATATTAATGAGTTAAAGGTCACTTGCAATAATTTTATTATTGACTTTAAAGTCTTGACTTTATTACCCCATGATCATTATATAAAGGACATAAATTCCTCTTCATGTTCCAAAAGCCAGTGAAGTTTTAAGAGTTGGCTCATATAATTCTTACATTATCCAGCCATACTGGAAAACTGTAGCTGTCAAACACAGAAACATCTTGTCTAATGTGAGAGACACCATGTACATAGAGCCTACTGGTAAGAGCATGGAAAGGAAAATGACCAATACGTGTACTACAAATCATCAAAATATTGGAATACATGAGCATAAAACTTGTATTTAGCGTAAAAGAGTAAGTTGAGGTTGAATAGTTTACAACTGAAGTTTCTGAAGCAAAGAATTGTAAACCATAAATACCACAAGCAGCAGCCTGGAGATAGTCTGCTGGTTGTCTTGCCCATGTTGGTTTGAGATCAAAGCCCTTCAGAAATCTCTGTCTCCTGTAACCCGTCCTCTGGCAACTTTCCCCATTGTTTGAATAAGACACCAAAGAAATAACAAAAGGGTGAGTGACCACTCTCTCCTCTTTACAGGAAAAAGAAATACCACAATAAAAATGCCTGCAGGTTTTTATTGGAACCTTTATGGCACTGGATTTGAACCAAGCACATGAATACTGGGTGCCCTCAAAGCCTGCTTGATAAGACCACATGTGCGAAGTGTATTTTTCTATCCTTGCTGCCTAAGCTCTCCTTTTGCTCCCTGTTATTCTGTCTCGTGTGGTTTTCTCCATGAAGTTGAGATGGTTGGGAATTCTTTTGTTCTTTTTCCTGTGTGTCATTTGGGGGATACGGGGTCATTTTTGGCCTAATAAACAGTCGAAACTACAAGGGGGGCCAAAGAGCTCGAGAGGATGATGTGTAACATGGGTCACAGGTCAAATTCAAACCCAACATTGCGGTTGAGTGGCGGGTAGTTGAGTCCATTGAGCAACATTTGATATACAGTACATATGACATTTATTGCATGTCTGTCTGCCCTAGAAGGGATACCTCATCTGTTTCTCATCTGCCTTTTTTTCTCTCTTGATTCAGCTGGGGGAGTATTTTTTTCTTATCTAAATCAAATGTGCTAGGATAGATTATATTGTACAGACGCTTCTCTTTTTTGGCTATATATATAGTTATTAGAAAGTAAAATGGTTTTTAAAAGCTATATATATGTGTGTGGTGGGGGGGGGGTATATATTGTGCATTTGATGTAAAGAAGTTGGGACAGGGTAGGACAAAAATCGGAAGAAAGGAATGAAAGAGGAAGATGAAAAAGGATGAGAGGAATCAAGGGATGACTTAGACATCTTGACTGTAGGCAGCGTGAGTTGATGAGGAGGAAATCCCTCTCTGCCTAAAGAGGCTTCCTCTGAGGGGCTTTAAAACGCATGGGGCTGCCGTGGATCTTCAGCTCACCACTGATAGAAAACAGATCCACCAGCTGTTCAGTGGAAATGTTGTATGGATGGGATGTGAAGGGCGGGGTAATCGAAACTTGCAGTATGAAAATTAAAGATGACTTCGTATATGTAGCTTTTAAAGGCATTAACTGTTTTGTCAGTCAAGAAGTAACATCATAGTGTTCTGGAAACCACATGAATTTGCTTAGAGAACATTAAAATTTACTTTGATTTTGATACTGTATTGACTTTTCTCCGCCTTTCCCTGCAGTTGTTACAGTTCAGCTCCCCAGCAAAAACCTTTAAACTACTTTAAATGAAGCTGGTAGGGTCAACCCATCCAGGTTAGAGTAAATGAGGTCATTTTTGGCAGCGTATTTTTGTGTGTTGGAAAACCCAAAGGGTAAAGTTTTTTTAATCTAGTAAAAATTCCTAAAACAGGAGTGAATGTTAATCCCAACCTAATCTTTAGATGAGTCGCCAATTACGTGTTGGATGTGAATTGTTTGATAATTAATAATGGCAAGTAGCTTAACCCTAAATCCATAATGCTGTTTAACTATGCTAATCAAAGAGTAGTTGAACAGTTCCCCAAAACTCAATAATACCAATAAAACTACCTCTGAAGTCTTCAGTGGTAATGACCCCAAGCCCTAGATTTAACCCCACCCCTAACCCTATGATCCCACCCTCACGTACATCGATATTTTGGCGCACGTGTTTTGGTGTACATTTCTGCAGGCACTGTGGAAGAGGTAGCATGTATCTAATCAGCAGCAATGGCAACACCTGGGCCGATTGCATACAGCACTGATCATTGACTACACACGCAGGGTTAATTTTGCTTTTAAAACTAAAACGAAGCTGCATTTTAATTGGCCATTGAGTGCATTTCTCTTTTTGTCTTTATCAGACTGTGTGCAGTGTTACTGCTTTATGGTTAGGGTTATATTTTTACTTGTTATTTTGCCATAATCTTGACAACACCTTAAACTGGTGATTAGAGATATTTTTCAAAATGAATACAGAAAAGTCCTTGTTTTAAAAAAAATACCTTCTGGAAAAAATCTGGATAGTTTTTGATGTGTTGTCCAAAGATCAAGTTGGCATTAGTTTGCTTATTTAGTCTGCAAAATACCCCAAAGCACCACCCAGTGTCTGTTTTTGAAACATTTCGTTTGACCTTCTGCATCTCCATCTCTCTGCAGTGATTTGTCCATGCAGTGGAGTCAGCTGTCCAGACCTTACTCCTCCACTGACCGAAGCAGCTCCCTGGGCTCCATGGAGAGCTTGGACACACCTACACCCACCACGCAGCCATACTCAGACTCCCATAATTCACCAGTCGATCCCACCCTCTTCAACAATAAGAGAGACTCTGCCTACAGCTCCTTCTCCGCCAGCTCAAACACATCTGACTATGCGACAGTCCCTCTGAGACCCGGTGAAGCCAACTCAATGGATAA